ACTTATGATTACAAATTCTATAGTAGATCTACGACAACAATCAAGCATTATTACTTTTTTTCCTTGATTGCAGTTAAAAACATGGATTCATTGGTAGTAAAGTATTCGAATGGATGATCGATGAAGAAACTAATGCAGTCAACAGCTTGTCCAAATCTATAAGCATTGAAAATCTGTTTGAAAATGGTCATATCTTTTGATTTTGTCATTATGCTTATCATTTGAAAGAATACGTCGAGTTGAGTAAGAAGAGTTGATTTTACCACTAGTTAAACTTCGTTTCCACGTTGAAAAAAATCATCAAAACGTCGAAAGATCTAGTTTTTCGAACACTGCTTATGATTTCCAAATAATAAAGCTTTATGCCTTTAATAGTCTTTTCAAGATTGCAAGCTATTTTTTCTGATTTTTCATGAAAAATTAATACGATCGAACAGACTGCGCAAAAATTCGGTTTTTCTAGTTTCGATGGCCAAAAGTCTGCGGAGTTTTCTTCGTTAATAGTTGGAGCCAGCATGATTATCTCATGGAATTCGTCATAAAAACGAACCATACTCAAAATTCTATGTTATCCTTTAAAAAGCAAGTAAGCGAGATCCAAATGTCATCCTAGATTGATATCATTCAATATATCAAAATACACTTTTATTTATAAAGAAAAGTTGTCTCTCTGGCATTCACTCATAACTAATGATTGTTATACTACAAAACAACCTGCACATAGCGGCTTCTACGATGAATTTTCCAGAAGCATGTTTTATTTTCAGGTACTTGTCTCATTGTAGGTTGCCATATAATTTCAATGTTATTCAATTGAAGATTAATAATTTTTCTATACCATTGTGATCATAAAACTTCGTTAACATCAAATAAGTTAGGAAAATTTTTACTTGTGTCTGTTTTTTTCATGGAAATCCTGTTCTAGATGTTTAAGCTTACACAACACGTATATTCTTCTCGAATGTTCGAATCTATTAGTAAACTTCAAAAACACATGCTCATTCCTAACGAGAAGGAATCAGCCGCTTGCTGCAAAAAAAACAATACCACAATATATTTTATGAGAACTATATAGTATCACTTTATTATCTGATCCAGTTGTTCTTCAATAGGGGTGTGGGTATGGATGTGCATTAAGAAAGGACAAATATACTCACACACTGCACACTGGCACCCACAACCGCACCCATTCACACTCAATACTCTCACCAACCACTCACACCACACGTCTACAACCACACCAACAACAGACACTCCTCTCGAATGTCTAAGAATAGAGAAGACACTGGCCATATTGGTTGGCTTCATCGATTTCCGTTACATTCTTTGTGTAGAAACACAGTGTACAGCAGAATTCATACAAATAGCTGCTCATATATGCGAATCGGTCAAAAAGAGAGCCTAAACCGATTTCGAAAGCTGCACGAAAGAGTCAATATAATAACGAGAAATAAATGATTGATTGCGTGTAATGATGCTGTAGATGCAGATGTTCTATTCTATAGTACGTATACACTCAATTTTTTCACACCCATATCCCTTTGGACCGCATATGCAGGTCTACGTAATAGTAAGTGTAAAAAAAGCTGGAAGAGTCAATAGCAATTCAAACGAATTTATGAAGTAAACCAAAGAAACAAAAATTATATGTTGTCTTTCGCATTTTGAAGATTTTCTTGATACCGTTTCAGCTTCGGATCATTCGCAGGTGGTGATCGTTGCGCAATTTGAACAGCACGTTCAAAAAATTGACTTGCCCTCGAGTTGTCACTCTTTGTATAATATGTCGGACCGATGCTGTTGCAGGAAGCAGCCAATAAGAAATGATCCAAAGATAGTTGTTTTTCTCTTATTTTCAGTGCATTTTCGTGAAACTCAAGTGCTTTTGGGCAGTCACCCATATAGTAAAACCAGCGACCGATACTTTCGTACGTTCGAGTTAAATTGCTATAATCCGTAGGCAGATCTTTTTCTTCTATTTTGAGTGATTTTTCTTGAAAGTCAATTGCTTCTGGGAAGTCACATTTATTGTCATACGGAACAGCCATGTTGGTGTATATGTTAATGATGACCATGTGGGAGGTAGCGATAGCATCATGGTTCGGTGGCAGAGCTTTTTCGTAAAATTCAAGTGTTTTCGAGAAATCACCCATGCTACTATATACTACGCCAACATTGTTGTAGAAGGTAGCCAAATCGGGATCATCCGATGACAAAATTTGTTTTGTGGATTTCCATAGTTCTCTGATAAAATTCAAGTGCTTTCGAGTAGTCGTCCAGTTTTTTATAAGGAAGTTCCATATTATTTTAGATAAGAGCTAATGAAGGATGATCTTCCGGAATAGTTTCCAGGTATATCTTGAGAGCTTTTTCATAAAATAAGACTGCGTCTTTGTATCTTCCTTGCCCACGTTTAACCCATCCTAGGTAGTTATAAATATATGTTCTGTCACTGTCACTGGAGGCATTCTTGAGCAGTTCATGATACAGTTGTTCAGCCTGATCGATGTCGCCTACTGGGAGTATCAATTGACCCATTCGATACCACCCGTATCCATTGAACTCTTCTTTCATACAGTCGATGAGAGCAGCCAATTCTGAGTCATTGGCGTCTCTGATTGTTAAATGCATTTCCTATACCCGACTGTTGCTGATCGTCTTTTTTATATCACCGACGCGAAAGAAAATATGCATTGCGAAAAGAATTTCTTTCTCTGATGGAATAGCACTGTAATCGTCGATAAGAGCATATGGAGTAATCGAAGCTAATACTTTACTAGGATCGATTATCATAATAAAAATAACACCCTTTGTATCTTTATTTTTCTGCAGTGCATTTTGAGCGAAGCTCATGACTACTCGTCTTTCTTAGTTGAAAAAAAATTATTGAATAGCAGAAGTCCACCTTTTGTGACGTTTAAATGTTGAAAGTCCTGTTTGGAGAATTCCTGACCACGATAAACAATAAATTTGTCGACATACGCACTCAATTGTTGTTGATGTAGTTGTTCAAGTTGATGATGTAGACTTCGAATAAAAAAGTCCATTTTTGTCATCGCCTCTATGTTAAAGGTTCGTAAAGCGCGATTAGGCATACCACAGAGAAATATTTCATATGTATACCACCAGACTGGTGGTTTTTGGTTATATTTAAGCTGAAAGTCCTTTAATTCAGATTCCGACATTTTCTGTTGATGGCCATAGACTACTAAGTCTTTAATAGGTTTATCAGCGTCTTCATTGATCTCCAATATAATCTCCTTGAAAAGCACTGAATACAGGTAAGATGGCTCCAATCGGCCAAAAGTTTGTTGTCCTAGTCCTCCTCCTTCTGCTGCTGCTATAGTCATTCTCTTTGGAACGAAGCTCATTGGAATCGCATCATGTTCACAATCACGAGCGACTTTTTTTAACAATTCACAAATTGGTTTGATTGACGTGAAAACACCTCGAATCTTTGACCATTGTTTTACCCATTGTTCATGTCGTGCCTTGTTGCCACAAAAGATGTAAATGGTATCCAAGTGTGGTATATCATGAATTTCTGGCACGAGATGTTGTCCAAATGCTCCAGATGAAATGACAAAAACTTTTTCGTCATCCATGTCATTAATAAATTCGATACATTGTTCCAGCGACGTGCAAAGATTCACCTTGCTGACGATGCCACACAATCGTTTCAGTATTTTTTGACACGCTTTATTTTTCGAATCGATATGGGCATCGACCCAGATGACTGAACAATTTTGAGTCATGCAATGTCTTGTTCGCATGACATTTGATGATGCTGTTGTACTTGCAGAAGCATCAGTCGTTGATTTTGAATTATTTTCCTTGGATTTTTCGTCAATCATGTTGAATTTTTTTTATCATTCGATCTCTAATCGAGTATGGTGAAATATTTTTTGTTGGTTAGATAAAGATTACCTTTTGTTGTATATATATATTAGATGTATTCAATACTTTTATAGATTCTTTTTATGACATCAAATGCGTATTTTCTGTTATTTCCATTGACACTTCTTACAAAACTCCACCTAGTTTTACAATTGAAAATATCGTTTCTTTTTTACTAACAAC